TTGCAGGACAATACACTCAAATGCTTAGTTGAAGAGATTGAGCGTGTTCGGCCGAGAGTCAATGACGACTACATACTTGGTTTCCTGGACATAAGATTAAAAATATTCTTTCAAACATATTATTAATACGTTAGATTCTTTCAGTTAACATAGTTTTGTACAACAGAGGCTGTCACGTCGTCTATGCCGTGCGGCTGATCATTGTGGTTGCAGGACAGACACGACGCAAGACATGTACGTTCCTTCCGCAGGTAGAGGAGGCTTGGGTTCCTCTAGCCAAGTAGCTACAGGGGACGGGGACGAGGACGAGGAAGACGACGACGTTGACAAGAGGCACGAGGAGCTTGGCCCCTCTCAGCTCCATGACGCTCCCTCGACTCATCCTACACCGCCTCTAGGCACTAGGCGACGCCGTCCGCGTGACCCTTACACTCTAGGTACGAGCGCTCTTGGTCACAAGGGTAAGGGCAAGAGTAGGAGGCAGTGAGGGATGTGGTAGTTGTTAGTATGCACTATTATAGATTTTGTATGGACATTGTGGACTATTTGGACTGTGCATGACATATTATGTTGGTTGTGATGTTCGTTGTGGTTGCATTTTGCTCCTTTGATGATTAAATGTTTGGAATATATAATGATGTCTCTGTTTGTAACTGTGGATGCTCCAAAAACAAGGGAAACTCTTGTGATTTTTTTTCGTGAAACAATAATCATACTACACTGCTAAAAAGGCACAAATATAGTACACAGATTAACTATAAATTTATTAGAACATGTATAATCCAAACGTACCGTACATATGCTTTGTAGACGAATCTAGGGTTACCAAGTAACAGTGAACGATTCTATGCTTTTCAGACAATAAGAATAGACTTTTCAGATACAAGGACAGCAGCGATTTATCACATCACTGACATAGTACTGGCATACAAGGAAGCACAACTCCACTCTATCTCCACCATCCATCTTATGACTGTTTGATCCAAGGGCTGAGGTGAAGAGGCACACAGATCGCTGACATGGCACATTGAGAGGCCTCCATTCCTCCTCTCAACCTATAAATAACCATTCATTCCCTCTCATTCACACACACAACAAGGAAGAAGAACACTCCTCAGCATTTTCTTTCGTTGCAGTACCAATGTCTGGAGGGTCGTCCAGAGGGAGAGGAAAGGGGAAGGAAACTACTATTAGGTGGGAGGGTCCTCTTGGTCCCGATTTCTTTGAGAAAACTCCTTATGAGAGGTTCCCAGTTGAGAGCAAAAGTGATTTCACCAAAGAGGCACCACTGAGAGGATACGATGAAAGGAAAGAAGAGTGGCCAAAATGCATGCATGGTGAGGATTGTCTAGTGCAGATGTTCACCGAGGGAATAGATGGAGGTCGTCGTTTCTTCAAATGCCCACGAGCATGGGTAATTGCTATTACTATTTGTTTCTTCAACATGTTTCTCTTGTATATAACTTACACGACATACTTATTGTAGTCTTCCTTGGCCGAAGAAAACTGTGGGTTCAGTAGGTGGGTCGATCCTCGACCTATTTATCCGCATGCGGAGTACATCTACTACCTATAGAACCGTATCTTCGATCTAGAAAGGGAAGTTAGCAGCGGTTACAAGGACGATAGACAAGACGACAACAACAATAGTGCCGATTCACAGGAGGCTCTCTGCAATGATCCATATTGCACTTGCCCTAACCACAAGAACAAGGGGCCTCCCCCGTCACCCCCGTCACCACCACCACCAACAACGGGAGGCTACTATAGAGAAGGTGCAACACAATTTGCTATGTGGCCACACTACTAGGATGACTTTATCTTTTTCACATGCCACATCTATGTGTTTGTTGTTTGGTTTAATTACCTAAGGCATGTTAGGTTTAGTCGAAGGAAACTCTATACCCAGGTTCGGTACATGTTCTCACATGCCATTTCATATGTTTTGTGTGTTGAATTATATAATGCCGTACATCGTTAGTTTTTTTTTGCAGCACGTGTTCACATTTCAATACGTCCGTATCATTAAGCGAAATATTAAGACCATAAATAATGAAAACAACCACATAATGAAAAGTTCAATACTATGTCACATTACACAACATATTAATACTAGAAGTACGTGCCGACAGTAGACATAGGGGCAAATGCACTAACAAATCCTCAGTCTGAAACGTACTGAGTAAGCAACTCATTATCCGAGTACCAATCCTCTACTACAACCCTGTTGCTGTGGCTAGGCACACCTGCATTGCTCTGACCTGCCTGTCGCCTGTAGTAAGCGGCCTCCGCTTCATCTACGGCCGCTGCGGCCTGAGTGAAGAACGTGTTGTCATCCTCCTCCGCCTGTAAGGCTGCCTCTGCTAGCCCAATGAGCTCGCTCAGTCTGCTAGTGTCTTCCTCAACCTCCTTCGCTTGCAACCCCACCTTTGCTAGAGCGATGACCTCGCTCAGTCTGCCAGTATCATCCTCAGCCTCCTGCGCCTGCAAGCCCGTCTCTGCTAGAGCAATGAGCTCGCTCAGTCTGCTAGTGTCGTCCTTATCCTCGTCCCCCTCATCAGACAACACAATCGGTGATTGAACGGTGCGACTAACTCGAGATCTATGCTCATCTAACTTCTTCTCCTCATACCTTGCATGAGCTAGCTCTACGGCATGTTCCTCGCTGTAACCAATCCCTTCATGTATGAAATGCAATCAGTTAGCAATGTGGTTATATTACATTTAAAATCAGGCAACGAAAAAAAATGCTTTCAAGCACTCACTGACACATAATACAACAACATACTCGTTCAAGACCTGCATCTGTACTCTTGTTTCCTCCCTTGCCTCATTCCTTGCCCTCTCCTCCTCTAACGTCATCCGTCTCTCCAATCCCCATTTGTTAAGCCCAACATCGATCGGGTTACAAATACCGCGCTGTCTAGCAAACTCACGCATCTTTTCTTTGTAATGTTTAACGAATAGGTTGATGTAGTCAGGTCCATATCTTCTCTTCCGTGCAATTACTTGCCTCTTCTTCAGTTCATCCAAGAACTTAGCTTGACCATCATAACATTTCCACCTGCATTTCCTAGTGCTCTGTTCAAACGGAAAATTATATCATATATGTCTTAGCAAAAGAAACAAAATATGATTTCATGTTTACCATAAAAATAACCAACCTCATCGTACTCAACCATATGGCCGCAATAATGGCCTATTCTAAGCTCCGAAGGGACTAGGCCATAGTTGGATTTAACACCACATTCGTACATGACAGGAGGTGCTTTGTAAATTACCCTTTCTTTCTTCTTTTTCTTAACCTTTCGCGATTCTTCCGGCCATTGGTTCTTAGGACCATACAACCACTCTTTGAAACGACACTTCGTCATTGAAAACACCTAAATAAGTAGACATTAGTACATGAACACATATAGCTCAATATTTCAACACATACACTTTGCACTTACTTCATGCTTGTTTGGACACACAAACTCCAACATATTTTCAGGGTTTATCACAGCTCGATCTCCACAATCGCACAGAGGAGGTTCTTCGAGTCATCTAACTGTGGCTAGGTGCTTCTCCTTAGCCGTCATTGGCGGAGGGTTAGGGGGTGGAACCCACCGCTTGAAGTGCTCACGTGGATGTCTCCCTCTAAACCAATCGTCGAAAAGAAGATACTTAGGATCAAACTTGTCTGCACCGTCGATCCACTGAAAGAAAAAGCACCTCTCATGGTCCTACACAACGAGATTACAACAAAATATTAGTAGCATACTTACACAAATAAAGAAAAAAGGATAGTGGAAACAATTTCTTACATTAAAACGACTACATGTGTAGAAGCAACGCGCCGCTGTGTCTGGATGTTTCGATTGAAAAACATGGACCGGGAAACCACAATCACAGTTAGGGACAGGAGGTCAGGAGGGACGGGGGCATCTTTGCTAGACGTGTCGGGGTATAATTCTCGAGGACGACCCCGTTTTCGCCAAAACTCCTCCCAAAACATTTCTTGCATCTAACAAAACGGATGTAATTTAACAAACATAAATCAAAACATCACAAATAAATATCAATAAGAACCATAACTACAATACAACTAATTTCGTTCTAAGAACCGAAATCAGTTAACATTAAACCATAAACTTAGGGTTTCCCATTTGATGCACAACAATGAATTCATAATATAACTACATGCGCCAAGGTTTGCTAACCTTTTCCACGCCTTGGCATCATCCTACGGTTGTATAATACATATATTGAGGGATATAATAAAACCCTAAGTGATGACGATTATTACGTTCAAAAATCTGACTAATATATACCGAATCGATGTGAAAAAAACTAGGAGGGGAGCGAGGATACCTTGCTCTCGAAGATCTACGGATCAAATCAAAGTTTCTAAGATCCAATATACCGATTCGTGAGGTAGGGTGAAATAGAGAGAGAAAAAACCCGAGAAGGAGAAGAAAGAAGAGGAAGAACACTCGGGCAGGAAGGTTGCCCGGGGTTAAATGGCAGGGAGCTCGGCACCAAGATCTACGGCGCTAAGCTCGGTGCCAGAGTGCCTAGCGACGAGCTCCCTACCATGCCATCTACCGAGCCCAGGCCTGGCGCCTCGGCGCCAACATCGATGGCGGCGAGCTAAGAGTCTATTTTCTGAATTATTTCCGCTAGGAGTCTATTGGTGAGAAACTTAAAAAAAGAAGCTAAAATGTAAAAAATTTGGCCGAAAACGCCCCAGTCCCAGCTGTGTCATTGATATCAATGGGCCTCTTCGGGACTTGACCGATGGGCCTTTGGGCCCTCTATAAATCCAACCCGTCTTCCTCGTCTCCGTCGACGTTCCTCGCCGTTTCCGTCTCCGTCCCCGGAAAGGAAAAGAAAAGGAAGGGGGGAGAGAAGAAGAAGAAATTGATTTTGGTGAGGCCAAGCCGGAGCACGCGGAGTGGGATCGCCGCGGATAAGCCGCGGGTGGGACTAGCGGGAGCACGCGGAGTGGATCGAGGTGGATGGCGGCGGCGGATAGGCAGCTTGTGGTTGCCGTCGAGGGGACGGCGGCGCTGGGGCCCTACTGGTCCACCATTGTGGCGGAGTACGTCGAGAAGATCGTGCGGTATGTCCGCGACCCTGGCCCTCTATTCTCTCCTATTCCGTTCCTGGTCTTCAGTTAGTGCGGGAGAGAATGGGAGCTTGGATAGGGGATTAGCTGTTCTGGTGAAATTTCTTCTTGCCTCTTCGCTAGGGTTTAGAGGGAGGACCAGGCTATTCACCGTCCTGATCGCTGGATCGATGGAGGTGGAAGAGAGAATGCCTATTGACATATAGTAGAGAACGATTTTAAGCTTTCGGAGCTTGGGTTGGATTATTTGATGTTTCCTGATTGGGTTTGTATTACTCACCGGGATGAAGCGAAGGACCTCTTCAGGGTTAGTGATTTGTATGATGGAAGGGCATATAGTTCCTATATAATTGCCTAATTGGTGATCAGGCAGGCCAAGGGAGTAAGCGACAGTTAAGACCTACCACTGGCAGCTTGTGGATGAGCTTGCCAAATTTTGGAACTGTGCTCATGGAGGTAGTCAGTACGAAGTTGATTTTTACGGAGCTCATTTTCGTAGATGTCTTCTCGTCTATTTTATTTAATTTGTATCATTTCTTCAATCTTCTGTCTTATCACAACAGTACACAAGTATATTTGTAAATTTGGCTGTTTTTAAAGAAAATCATCTGATTAGCATGCTAGCAATCTTGGTTAATGGTTTGAACTCCAGGTCCAATACCACCTTCATAATAATTCATTTTTCACGCAATTGTGCTATGCAAATGCGTCATTTTAATTTTTAGTGACTGATTCATGGAGAAAATTAAAATTTGTGCAGGAGCTTTTGTGCAAGTGAACTGCCAGGCCAGGTAATATTCTGTCCTAATGATTCATTTATTATCGGAGCTCTCAATTTGTGCATGCTATTCCAGTGTCAATGTATAAGCCATTCTTCATTTGTGCAGAAGCTTTCAGGGGCTCCGCCTGAGCTTGCATTAGTTGTTTTTCATACCCATGGACCCTACAGTGGTATGCCTTTATATTGTTCATGTCCATGACCATATCAGTTGATGTGAACTCTATAAAATAGGTAACTTGTGAACATTTTGCAATTCAGCTTTTGATGTGCAGCGAAGTGGATGGACAAAAGATACCGATGCTTTCCTGTCATGGTTATCTGGAATATCATTCAGTGGTGGAGGATTCAGTGAAGCTTCTACTTGTGAAGGTCTTGCAGAAGCACTGAAGGTATTGACAAGTTAATGTTGTTTGAAATTTTTTTGCAGATGATGAGGTCTTTGTTGCCAAAAGTTACCACTTAGGAGATTTTGTTTCACCTTTCAAGATCTCAACATTTTTCATATTTTCAATTTTGTTGTTATGAGAGCATGATATCGACATCATGCTTTGTTTTACCATTTTGCCTACTATTCCATTGTTTTGTTTTGTTGTTAACCAGTTCTCTAAGAAAAACGATGTTTTATAGTTCCACTTGGTGGCAAACATCTATTTCTAGCTATCCTTGCAGGTGAAGATATCACCACATATTTTCTTATATTGTTGTTTAATTATTATTTTTCATAGATGGTAAATTATTCTGCATGTACATGATATTTATTCCAATATCCACAATGTGATTTTCCCATGCTATGATTTGACTGAGAAAGTGTGAGCATTGTGTTCACATCATTTTGAATCCTGGCCAGTTAGTATAAACACCTTGATCAAAAGCTCTGCCTTTCTTTGTCTTATAATCTATAGAGTATGCATCAGTAATCATCACTTATTACCAATAACCTATGTAAATTGCTAATTGCCAGATATAAGAATGCAGTGAAATAATTATGATAATTAAGGTCTGTGTGTTAGTCTGCTTGCATCATTTTTGGGCATCAGTCCATTTTGCTTGCGATGTTGAAACTTACATGTTGGAAAAGAGCTGAAAAAACTTTGGTGACATGGCATTCCTTTTTATTTTCTTCGAACATTAAAATATTGATTATTTCATTTCTAGTTATTGTGCCTAATGTAAGCTGTTGTCCACAATTTTTTATTGTTTGTCATGACGGTCAATTTTTGTGCAACTAGATACTTCAAGGCAGTCCTAATACAACCCAAAGTCATCAAAACCATGAAGCACAAAAGCATTGCATACTTGTCGCCGCAAGTAATCCTTATCCTTTGCCGACACCTGTATACTGTCTTCCTACTCAAAGTACTGATCACAAAGAGAACATTGAGACAGCAAAAGAATCTTCTATTGCTGACGCTGAGACCGTTGCAAAGTCATTTGCTCAGGTGCTAGCATAAATTCTGCCATAGCTTGTTATTGTTTTCTTGTGTCTCAATGCAACGTCTGTAGCATTTGGTTGATTCTATTTCGTATTTTGGATGCAGTGCTCTGTCTCACTGTCGGTGATATCTCCAAAACAACTTCCAACATTAAAGGCGATATACAATGCGGTAATGTTATCACTTGTATTAGACATGAACCTTCTTCTATTCCTTATCTGTGCTTCTTTTAGTTCTTTCATTATTCTATTGATGGTCAAACTTTAGGAACTTTTGAAAAAAAAAAACTCGACCTGCGGGGGGTTATGACGGCCCCCGGGTTTTCCGTTTAAGAAGAAGGATCTTCTCACATAGATCGAGAAAACCCCCGAACCCCCGCCCCCATCCTGACGCAGGAGGTGCCGTAACCCTGTGAGAACCGGGCCGGAGCCTTCCACTGTGCTTTGGCACATGGGGACGGGCGAGGGGATTTTTTTAACCTCAGCCTGAAATCCGCTCCCACGGGGAGTCGAACCCAGGACCTGAGGAGTGCCGCTGGGTCACCTAACCGTTTGAGCTAGGCGCCCTTTGGCAAACTTTAGGAACTTTTGACTGCATGGATTCTTGTGTTATACTTTCAATCTGACATCTCACTTTTGCTTCATGGCCATGGAACAAAGAGTGGTTAATACTTTAGTTTTTGGCAACATTTGTTATATGCCCATATCTATAGCACAAATATTGTGGCAAAACCAAAAATGAGATCAATTAGTTTTGTAAGCTTTTGTGACAGCTATATTAAAGCAAAGGTGGCATTAAATTCATTAGTATATTACTAGCTAAAATTGTTAAGTGATGACCTTGCGCCATCACCGATTTCCCTAGTTGACGTTGATTATTCTTTTTACCTTATGTGATGTGATACAAATTATTAACCTTATAAGGCCTTCAACAATTATGATTAACATGCGCATAACACTTGCTCCACATTCTGATGCAGGGCAAGCGAAACCCTCGAGCTGCTGATCCATCAGTCGACCATGCGAAAAATCCACACTTCCTTGTTTTGCTATCTGAGAATTTCATGGAGGCGCGAACTGCTCTAAGTCGTCCTTTACATGGAAACTTGGCCCCAAATCAAACCATTACGAAGATGGACACTGCACCTGCAGTGACTATGCCAGGACCAACTTCAAATGCCAACCCCTCAGGTTGAGAAAATGTTAATGTTAGACACAGTTTTTCTATAAGATCGGTTCCTGGTTCTGCCCTTTGTAGAAAGAAAATGTTGTTGATGTGATGTCTGCTCATGGGAATGTAGGGAAAACTTTGTAAAAGAGGTTAAGGTGTTTACACCTAGTTTAGTGAGAATTGGTTTAACAAATAGTTTCAATTTAACTAAGGAAAAATTAAATAAGTCAATTTATTCTGGAAATTCCCCTTTGGTCTACATGCCTAACATATGACAGAAAAAGTAATGGCTAATGTATTTTTGGGATGGCTAACTATTTCATAGCAGGCACGGATTTGCATATGCTATTCCATTATCCATTTTTTTGTGAAGTGTACCTTTGTGGGGTGAAACATTGTGCTTGTGATGCTTTATACTAGCGAGAACACATAAGATATTCGGATTACTTTTGGCTCTGATGAGGTTTGATTGCTTGTTGTGCACTGAAATGTTCTACCTTTAGTTTGCTGAATTGAAATACTTTCTATCCTATGGTTACAAAAGTGAATGTACTAAACATAGAAGTTGTGCGATATATTTCTTGTCGCTTGTATCAGTGGATGCCAATATGTTCCCCTATCAGTGTGGATGAATGTTTTGCTCAAATACCATTTGAATATGAAAAGTGCCCTTAAGGTTTTAATTGGCTAGCTGTCCACAGCTAATTGTTTGTGTTATTGAGAGTTCCAAGATGTTCTGTCATTTCTTTAAATCAACCAGAGTTTGTCATAATTAACAGTGCGATTGATATATTGTGAGGCTTACACGCATTAACTTAAATGTATCTGCATAGATATGTAGTACTTCCATACATTAGTTCTTGTTATTAAGTGGTTGCATCATTTGTTCATGGGATAAATTTGTAGTAGTCTAAGTTGCTATGTGCCATTGTTAGTCACATTTCCCACTTTCAAGAGTTTGTCTGTAATCTTCTTTAAATAATGCTGTTATGATAAGTTGATTCATCTAATATTGTAATCTTCTTTTGCCTGCTTATCCATGTTATTACCTACCTTGACATGATGACTAATTCCATTTGAACATTTCTAGTGAATGCAATGACAGGCCGTCAACCAGTTGTTGGAGGCATTTCTACCGCAACTGTTAAAGTGGTAAGCTGCACTATTATTGGAATTTGTCTGTTTGTTTTTTCATTCTAATAATACCTTTAAAAATTTTATTTTTACAGGAACCAGCAACCATGCCACCGATAGTTTCTGCACCTGCTTTCTCACATGTAACACCTATTTCAAATGTGGCTTCACAAGGAATATCAGCACTTCAAACCTCATCACCATCTCTTATTTCACAAGAAGCAAATATGGCAAATGATAATGTGCAAGAACACAAGCCTATAATAAACCCTGTTCAACAGCCAGTTCGGCCTGGTGGTCATGGCAGCCTCCTCAACAATCTGTCACAGGTTCGGTTGATGAACTCAACTTCTTTAGGAGGAGGAGCTACCTCGATGGGACTTCCTAACATGGGGGCAACACCAATACAAGTCCACATGTCAAACATGATATCAAGCGGCATGACATCAACACCCTCTGTCATCTCCTCTATGTCTGGACCTGGACAACCTATTGGTACTCAACAGATGGTACAGAGCACAGCTCTTGGTTCCTTTGGCTCAAACACTTCTACTGTATCAGGCAATTCAAATGTTGCTGTATCATCCTCTCTAACTAACAACCAAAGCAGTATGGGCATGGGTCAATCAGTGCAACCTGTGGCACAAGGAGGCTTGGTGGCTGGTTCACAATTAGGACAAGGTGGAATTGGTGCAAACCAAAATGTGATGAGTAGCCTTGGATCTACAGCTATCTCTTCAGCACCTGCGATGATGCCAACACCTGGGATGGTCCCACAGACAGGAGTCAATTCCTTAGGTGTGAATAACAATCCTGCTATGAATATGCCTATTCCACAGCATGCCAATGCCCAACAGCCGCCACCAAAGTATGTCAAAATTTGGGAGGTAAAGGTTTCCTCGTCTTTAGCATTTACGTATACATAGACAGCAACCCAACTCCCCAGTATACCATAGAGATGAGTTGTTGCAATAAATGATAAGCACAGTACAGAGCAGATGACTAATAGGCAATGTTATCGAGTCGTTTAGTTGATCCTAGTCGCCATGGGACCAACAAGGCTACTAGTTACGAGTAGTCGTCGACCAAGGCGACTAGTCGGTCCTACTCGTCCCCTAGTCATCCTATATATATCAGGACTAATATACCGAATATATACTAATATACTATATGTTCTAGAGTACAAATCAAGCATGAAGATAACTCTAGGGTGATGGCTGCACTTAGGGTTGCAAATTGGACTGAAAAACATGAGCCCAAGTGGCCTAAGCCATCCTACATGCAGCCCATGTCCTAAGTTGCCAGCAATTCCAGTCGTCCACCCCCTAGTCGTCTAACTAATCGGACGACTAGAAAACTAATCGGCCTAATCGTGTTGTAGTCCATAGTTGAGTCCAGGATACTAACTAGGAAGACTAATCGCGATTAATCGGACGGCTTGATAACACTGCTAATAGGGGGCCTTAGGTCCTGCTGCGGCTGTGTTATTGTAGAGTACAAAAATTGGGAGTTATGTTGCACACAATCTTGTTTGTTGGCCACAGAGATTTTCAACAACTGATGTTTGCCATCTATCTGTATTTCAGGGAACTTTATCTGGCCAAAGGCAAGGACAGCCTGTATTTATTTGTAAACTCGAAGTAAGTCTCTGTTTGCATTATCGAACTCCCAAAGATACAGTATCTTGTAAGAAATTATAGTTTCTGGTAGCTTTTTTGTTCTGCAGCATTACTAGCAGAAAGAATGGTTCCTGAGATATGGTGACACTTCTGTGCTCTTTGTAGATCTGTATGAACAACACTTCCATGCTCGTTCAACTAAATCTTGCGTTATCTTTTCCCCATCTTTTTGCTAAGACTGGAGATAATCTAGTTTTGAATGAACTCCTGAATTTGTAATCGTGTTTTGTTAAACTTCAAGTAAAGGGCATCTAAACCCTTTAGATTAGAAAATGGACTGCATCAATTGCCGCCAATGCCTATTTTCAGCCATGGTTTGTGATCACCTTCAAAGCTGGAATCTTACTCGTGCAGCTCTTTTGCTTTTTCCTTTTGACATTTCTCACTTTAACAATGTCTGACAGGGTTATAGGAGTGGAACAGCGTCTGAAACGTAAGTGCCTGATTTATTGCGATAAACCTTATATTTTTCTTGAATCTCTATTTTATGCAGTGTTTTCTGTTGATTACTTCTTGTCATTAATTGATGTTATGTTATTGTTGTCCTTGTCTTAAAAGAAATGACTTATACTAGAATATTTCATTTTTGTGTATGTAAAGAGTAATCTACATTAAGAATGGAACCCTTTTCTGGTACTTTCGAATTGTGTGTCCAGACTTAGTAGGAAATTGAAATCCATACTTTCTGTATGCAGACTTGCAGCGGACTGGCCAGAAACTATGCAGATTGTTCGCCTCATAGCCCAGGAGCATATGAACAACAAGTTTGTTTCTCAACTCAATTCTTTTCAATGTCAACTTGTTGCATCATTTTGTTGTAATGTGGCACTGAAACATATTTACTTGGTCATTCTGCAGACAATATGTTGGCAAGGCAGACTTTCTAGTTTTTCGGACTTTAAATCAGCACGGGTTTCTTGGACAACTACAAGAGAAGAAGCTGGTCGGTGCCTGGTTCTAATTTTTTTAGTAACTTTGTTATTTGGCTGTGGCTCATCTACTGTCGGCTCATACACTTAGTTTTCTGACAGTTACTTTATACAGTTCTAATATCCAATTGGTCCTCGTTTCAGTGTGCTGTGATACAGTTACCATCGCAAACTCTGCTGTTGTCAATGTCTGACAAAGCAGGTCGTTTGATTGGCATGCTCTTCCCTGGGGTAATCTTGATTGTAGTTGAATAAATTAATGTTCTGCATAATTATCTGTATTTACTAAATGGCCTTTTTTCCCAGGACATGGTGGTGTTCAAACCGCAGGTCCCAACTCAGCAGACACCAATGCAGCAGCAGCAGCAGCTACAACAACAGCAACTTCAACAGCAACAACAGTTACAGCAGCAGCAGCTGCAACAACAACACATGCATATGCAGCAGCAAGGCCTCCCACTTCAGCAGCCGCAGATGCAACTTCAGCAACAGCAGCAGCCGCAGATGCAACCGATGCAGCAGCAGCCGCAGATGCAACAGATGCAGCAGCAGCCAACACAGATGCAACCGATGCAGCAGCAGCCAACGCAGATGCAGCCGATGCAACACCAGCAGCCACAGCCGCAGCAGATGCAGCCGATGCAGCACCAGCAGCCACAGCCGCAGCAGATGCAATCGATGCAGCACCAGCAGCAGCAACAGATGCAATCGATGCAGCACCAGCAGCAGCAACAGATGCAGCCAATGCAGCAACAGCAGCAGATGCAGCCAATGCAGCAACAGCAGCAGATGCAACCACTGCAGCAACAGCAGCAGATGCAGCAAATGCAGCATCAACAGCAGCAGATGCAGCAAATGCAACAGCAGCAGCAACAGATGCAGCAAATGCAGCCTCAACAGCAGCAGCAACCCCAGATGGTGGGTACAGGAATGGGGCAGCAGTTCATGCAGGGGCACAATCGGGCAGTGCAGATGATGCAAGGGAAGATTACGCCACAGGGGCCGCCTGGGGGAGGCTTCCTACCTTAAACACCTCTTGTCAGCTGGCATCAGATGAATTGAAGGTTTACACTGACCCGAGTGTTAAGATGGTTGTGATGTCAACTTTATTCGACAGATTAGATAAATAGTCACTTGTGTAGTGCTAAGTGATGTTTAGTAGTGTAAATCGATAGCACTCATTTAGCTAATACTACCGTACTGAACTGACCCCAATGGGAGTGGTGCTAAAACTTAATTTACATCCGATTTTATTGGTAGCCAAATAAATCCCGTGGTAAAAACGACCTTGTCAAAACAGACCCTTTCATCACAAAGACCGGTCGATGTTTACTCATAAGCATCACTGTCACCAAAATAGATAACCGGATCTCCATGCATAGGTGCATACTTTATGGTATGGTATTGATGGTACCCGTAACTAATAGATATAACAAAGAATCATTATTTGCCTAAGCAGCTATTTAGCCGGATTAAACTATAGTAGCGAAGACAATCTGTGTTGTTTAGGTCCTAAATGGTGACTTAAATAGTTGGACCGTTTAAACTGTTAACTGTCTAAATAATCTAAATAGAATCAAGCTAAATGTGATTAAACAAGCTAAACAACCATTTAATTCACCATTTATTCAATAAAGAGGATTCCAACTACCACATTTGGAGACCAACTAATTAATGTCGTAAGCATATGAGGTAGAGAGGGATTTCGTTTTAGGCTAGGCTTCAGCTAAGCAGAAGGGGTTACGTGTTGGACCGTCGGAGGAGATTTTTTTTTTATTATTGCCTCAACCTTTGATACAAGTTGTAGTACCGTCGGAGGAGAGTTGATGAGCTATTCTCAAGACTTACTCCTAAAAGGAATTAGGTAGCACTTGGGGCTACAACCCTGGGCCCGCATCCGCCCCTAAACGTCAGTCATGATAGTATGTTTTTGTTTGTCCCCTCCTGGTATCAGAGGATCAATGGCAGGCGAGCGACAACGCTTTTGATCTTTGCATCAACAATGTATATGTTAATCTGCATCGAATGTAGAAGTAATTTTTCAAATGGTAGATCAAGCAGGGAAAGCGTTTGACCCTATTGTTGGCTTGCTTGTTCACCTTAATGGCCAACATCTTATCATTTTTCTTCTTCTTCAGGAGATAAGGTGTGGATGCCTTCTTGTCCACCTTGTTGGTGCAGGTGTTGGAGAGCTTGCTTGTTTGCTTTTTCTCCTTCTTCTTTGCTCCTCCCCCATTCTTCACCTTGCACTCATAGGACCTGTGACCTTCCTTGTGGCACACATAACAAACCATGGTTTGTCCTTCATCAAGCTTCTTCACTTCCTTGATGGTGTTATCTTGATGAAGTTGGGTTTGCCTCGTCTTGCCTTTTACTTGAGTCAAGTCCTTGGTGAGGCGAGCTACTTCTTGCTTGAGTTGCTCATTCTCCTTTGTAACCTCTTGTGTGCATGTATCTATAACAACTTTCTCAACACAAACTTGTTTGCACAAAGATGAGTCTAAACATAAATCATTACAAGAAGTAGAGACATCCTTTTTAGACAAGTTAAAGATAGAACTTTTCTTTTTAGATGCCTTGGTGGGGGTTGTGCCCACGGCTTCAAAATTAGCAACTTTATTAGTTAGCTCATCACAATGTTTGCACATGGTTTCAATTTTAGCAAGCAAACTATTATATGCTTCTTGTGAGCTAGCTAATTTTTCTTTTAATTTTTTATTTTTCTTTACAAGTTGCTCATCATTTATTATGCATGCATTTGCTGTTGCACTAGCCTCAAGCTTCTCAATTTTAATAGATAGTTCAACATTGAGATTAGCAAAGTTCTCATATTGTTCAAGCAAGGTTTTGTATGTTTTTTGTGAACTATCTAGCTTTTCTTTTAAACCGTTGAGCTTCTTTTGTTGACTAGTGATAGCTTTAGCATATTTAAGATTTTCTTGCACAATTTCATTATAAGAAGGCATATCATCATCACTATCACTCTCACTAGAGGAAGAGCTTTTGTTATCTCGTGCCATAAGGCACACACGTGAAGAGCTTGATGATGAGTGCTTGCGGCCTCGTCTCTTATGATGGTGTTCTTCTTCACTTGAAGAATCATCCCATGATCTTATTGATGTGAGGGCTTGGTTCTTGCATGCCTTCTTCTTTTTTATCTTGGGTGTGGGCTTGTTTGGGCAAACTTCCACAAAGTGCCCCAACTCGCCGCATCCATAGCATCCTATGTTTCTTTGCTCTTTTCTTTGATTTGTGAAAATAAAATCTTGAATTTGGATGGGCACACCCTTGACATTGAGCCTTTAGATCATCTTCTCCACCTTGTTGATCACTTTGATTGATTCTTCATCAAGATCGGAGGTGGAGGAGGAAGATTGATCATCACTTGAATCTTCATCATCATCATTATCGTCCTCATCTTCTTCTTCATCTTCACTTGAGGAACTTGAGCTTGAGCTTGTCTCAACTTGCTTGCCCTTCATCTTCTTTTTTTCGCTACAAGCGAGAGCTTTGCCTTTGCTTGATGAAGAAGCTTCTTCTTGACCCATCTTACGTGATATTTCAAATGCCACTAACTTGCCAATTACTATGCCCGGGGTCATGTTGCTCAAGTCCTCCATGTTGTGAAGGATGGTGATGATGCTTGCATATTTCTTTTGCGGTAGCACGGAGATGATCTTCCTCACGATGTCCACATCATCTAGCTTTAATAATCCTATAGAATGGAGCTCATTGATAATTAGATTCAAACGAGAATACATATCACGAACAAGCTCATCATCATTCATAGTAAAGGAATCATAGTTTTGCTTTGCTAGACAATATTTTTGCTCACGGACATTGCTTGTGCCGTCATGGAGCTCTTGAAGTTTTAACCAAATTTCTTGTGCCGTATTTAAAGTGAATACTTGGTTAAAAACATCCATACTAAGTAATTCAAACAAGCAATTTTTAGCTCTAGCATTGAAGTGCATTTCTTTTTCATCACTCTTTGTGGGTTTTTTGGGATTCTTGATGGGTTTCATCCCGTCACGAGTGACTCTCCATACACCCAAATCAACCGCCTCAAGGTGACAAGCCATTCTAGCTTTATAGTACGGGAAGTTAGTGCCGTCAAAGTGCAGAGGCCTAGCGGTATCCATCCCAACCACTCTAAATAGCGTCGGCTCAACGGCGGTTAAGCCAAAGGTCCAAAATGAGCCAACCGGGCTCTGATACCAATTGAAGGTACCGTGACGCCTAAGAGGGGGGGTGAATTAGGCAACTTAAAAAATCTAACTCTAAACTATGGCCTCTTTTGCTAACCTTAGCAAAACTTATACAAAAGATAAACTATCTAAATGTGCAACTATGGTTTTGCTAATGTGTTGCTATCTCTACCGCAATAGAAGTAATGTAATCAATGTAAGTGCGGAAGCTAAAGAGCGAGGTAGAGATATGCAAACTCCCGTCGATGACTCTGGTATTTTTACCGAGGTATCGAGAAGCACGCAAGCTTCCCCCTAGTCCTCGTTGGAGCCCCTCACAAGGAATCCCTCGCAAGGGCCAAGCTCCCGGTCGGGTAACTCCGTGGATAGCCTCGGGCCTTCCCCACGCGCAAGTGGGTCTCCGACGTGCCTTCCGGCAAGCCTCTCCCGGATGCTCTTCGCCGTCTTCACTATCAAGCTTCCGGCCGAAACACCGCGGGCCTTGTTCCCTCCGGTACACGGTGGCGGCTACACCACAAACGCGGTTGGTGTGATCTCACAAGACTTCAAGCCCCTCCGATGTACAACACTTGTGCTCGCAAGCACGGGGTGGCAAGAGGTATGCAAACCTCACTAAACACTAGGCATAAACCTAGAGCAATCGCATAAGCGGTGGTCTAATCAACCTAAGCACTTCGCAAAGCACTTATGCTAATCACCTAATAAAACACTAAGCACTATGCATATGAAGATCACTAAAATGGTGTATCAACACCCTTGGTATGTTTCCTCAGCTCCACTCTACTCAAATGGCCGGTTGGGGGTTGTATTTATAAGCCCCACTGAGAAAGTAGCCGTTAGGGTCGAACTCCCACAATTCTGCTACTGACCGGACGCTGAATCGTCCTGACCAGACGCGTCTGGTCGTCCCGACCGTTGAACTGGCAAAACACTGATCGGACGCTGTCCATCGTCCGGTCGCCTGCCACCGGACGCGTCCGGTCGCAGATATGCCGCTCTAGAACCTTACTATACTCGATCGGACGCTGTGTTCCTGCGTCCGGTCGGTTGCCGCCAGCGTCTGGTCCTCACGTCCGGTCGCATGTCTACTGAGTCTCCACCTAGCATCCGGTCACAGCGTCCGGTCGCTTGTCCAGCGTCCGGTCACCACAGTGAGCTCGTTTCTTCGCGATCTTGCGTACGGCTTAGTTCCAATCTTCATGCTTGGACTTTACTTGATCTCTTGGGTCTTCTCTTGTGCTCCTAAGGTCTTGCTTTAAGGTGTTGATCATCGGATCATCACGTCGCCTTCGTCTAAGTCACGTCTTGTACCCTATTGGACTACAAAACAAACACTTGCAAATTCATTAGTCCGGTGTTGATCATCGGATCATCATGTCGCCTTCGTCCAAGTCACATCTTGCACCCTATTGGACTACAAAACAAACACTTGCAAATTCATTAGTCCAATTTGGTTGTGTTGATCATCAAACACCAAAATCCAAAGTAAATAGGCCAAGGGTCCATTTTCCTTACATTGTCTTCCCAAGCTTTTGGATATGTAGCCGGGGTTAGCAAAAAAAAAGCATTACAAATCTCACAAATAACAAGTGCAAGAAAACTCTATCCCGTTCCAGATCCAAGAACATGCCTCCACAATCCTCCTGATCTGGCCTAGGGAGGCTGACCTGTGGCCTGTGCGCCGGGAGCCACCGCCGCGCCGCCTCTACCACGCCGCTGGCTGGCCGGAGGGGCCGCGCCATCTCCGCCACGCCGCGGGCTGGCTGGAGCGTCGGCCCCACCGCCGTGACCACTCCATGGCCTAGCTCCACCGGTGAGGTC